TTTTCACATTGCAAGGGAAAATTCTGTAGATGGGATGGGCAAAACATAGCCCTCCAGATGTTGCTAGATTGCAAGTGCCAATGCATGATTTGACTATGTTGGATAGGGCTGATGTTGTAGTCCAACATCTGGGAGATTGCATTTTGCCCACCCCAACTCTCACATGTTGTATTGACAAACTGATAGATTATTTTGAGGCCAACATATTTTAGAACATAGATATAACAGAAGGGAAGTAAGATCCCCTTTTTATTCTAACTTGGTTTATGGAATATGCCTGTTCTCACCACCTATTGTTTTGTTATTGTTATTTTTAAAGCTAATTGTATTGTTTAATCTGCTTCTGTAAACCACTCCAAGCCAATTTTTTTTGTAAATCGCTTTGAGTCCCTGCCAGGGGTGAGAAAAGCAGTCTATAAATAAATACATACATAAATCTGTTACAGTGGGAACAAAGCCATCTTACTAACCCAGGGATAGGACTGGACTAAGGAAAATAATCACTATTTATTTATTTAACTTGTATACCGCTACTCTAAGGAAAAATAGTGATTATTTTTCCTTAGTCCAGTCCTATCCCTGGGTTAGTAAGATGGCTCTGTTCCCACTGTAACAGATTTATGTATGTATTTATTTATATACTGCTTTTCTCACCCCTGGCAGGGACTCAAAGCGATTAACAAAAAAATAATGGCAAAATTTAATGCCTTATATACATAAACCAAATCATAAATCAAACAGCATATGACTAAGCATCAAATACAATAGGACAAATTCACCATAAGATAACAGAATGTTTAAACATGAAGAATAAGAATTAAAAACATCTAATAAATCATTAAAATCACATGATCCTAACTCGTAGACCAGGCCATTCCAAATATTTATTACACATATTCCATATTTACTTCTTACCGCTATAGCTTAAAAGTGTTACTTTTTTGGTACTTTGTAGATCCCAAAAGTAACTCCTCTATCCACTTAGTGTCTTTGCCAATCACCTGATTAATTAAACTTTATGCCTTGGAGTTAGCTGTAATTCAGCGGAATTTACTTGTCTGCTCCTTTTGGCAACGGTTCTGCAAGATAAATACCCAGAACAACCAGAAGATTAAATACCCTGTTAAGTTCCATTACCTGTTCCCAAAACTTCAAAAATTACTTTGTAATAGTAATAAATTCTTTTTACTCATTATAGTATTTTGAAAATAAACTTCATTTTATGCTGCAACATTGCCAATGTAATTTTAATGTTTCTTGTTGCACTGTTAATTCCTTTCTGTCATGGGTTGTTGTAGATTTTTTCGGGCTATATGGCCATGGTCTAGAGGCATTCTCTCCTGACGTTTCGCCTGCATCTATGGCAAGCATCCTCAGAGGTATTGAGGTCTGTTGGAACTAGGAAAAAGGGTTTATATATCTGTGGAATGACCACGGTGAGACAAAGGACTCTTGTCTGCTGGAGCTAGGTGTGAATGTTTCAACTGACCACCTTGATTAGCATATAATGGCCTGACAGTTACTTTTACAAACAACAGTGTACGTTTGATTAGAGCAGTGGTTCCCAACTTTTGGGCCTCTAGGTGTTGTGGACTTCAACACCCAGAAATCCTAGCTATCTTACCAGCTGTTAGGAACTGTGGAAGCTGAAGTCCAAAACACCTGGAGACCCAAAGGTTGGGAACCATTAGATTAGAAAATAGCACGAAAAGCATGAACAATCCCTTTCAAAAGCCTTTTAAAAATTCAGCAGTATGTTAACTTTAATGTATTGACAATAGCACTTACACTAAAAATACTTTTTATTTGAAGTATTATTTCTTCAGTTTTTGCAGATTTCTTGAGAGTTCTGGTTGCTTGAGTTTCGGTTAACTGGGAGTCTACTGTACATTTGTTTTTAAAAGCTCTGTGCTTTCTCAGTCTTGTCATTTCTTTTTCTCATTAAAGGCTTTGTTATAAAAAGATCTTATCCTAGCATAACCCCTCAAAGGACTTTGCCCTCGATGTTTCCTTAAAAATCCAAATCTTGCAAGGGTCATGCTGAGAGTACATCTAATTCAGGGGCTGATCTCTCTCTTCATCTCCAGATCAGCTAGCATGCATTCAACTGAAGCTTGAAAATAACTAGTCAGTCACTAGTTTCTGGTTACCTGTAATTAAATACTTTCTAAGCACCATTGCATTACAATGGCAACTTAATGGGCATAATTTGTACCCCTTGGTGGTGTAACTTTTGTTTATTTTTACAGTATGGGAATGTGGCTTCACTGAATGGAGGAGGCAGAATACTTCATGGTTCAAGTGCTGCCTCTTGTTGGGACAAAAAGCATTTGGAAATAGCTGATTTTATTAAATAAAAGTGGCTATTTTCGTTACTTTTAGAAATGAGAAAGTAATGAACTGCTTGTTTAAAAAATCCCAAGAAGAATGGAAACAAACTACTTTGGTGATCTTGAGACTATAATTGTAATTATTTTTTTAAAAAACAACTTTCCATGTTTTGGGTTGTTGCAGGCTTTTTGGTCTATATGGCCATGTTCTAGAAGCATTCTCTCCTGATGTTTCGCTTGCATCTATGGCAGGCATCCTCAGAGGCAAAATGTCAGGAGAGAATGCTTCTAGAACATGGCCATAGCACCCAAAAAACCTACAACAACCCAGTGATTCCATCCATGAAAGCCTTCGACAATACATTTCCATGTTCTTATTTTTGCAGCCGACTTCTTTAATGAGTGAGCCTCACAATTCTGTAGAAAGCAAAAGGTCACTTATTAATGACAAAAGACAATTAAAAATATGGTTTTACAAACTGATAGTACACTGAAATTCTTTCTTTATGTTATCCACTCTGTGAGCTTCTGCTAGTGAAAGGGTTAAATGTAAACTGTAACACTATTTTCACACATTTAAAGAACAGTTCAATACTTCCATGTTCTTTGCCCATGAGAACTGCAGGAGAGTTTGGTAAAGGCCTGCCATATCCATGGCTTGGTTCCAGGATTCCATGGATAGATCCTGCCTCATATCATTAAACTATTATTAAATGATGCCAACATAAACATGCATGATTCAGTGTCTGTGTTCATGTTGCCACCATTTAATAGTATGCTGTGTAATCTATGGTCAGTGGAAATTGCTGATCCTGAACTCACAGATCTGGACAGCCCATTCTAGTCTGTGTTGATCATGTCACTTGTGTTTCTGTGCAATTACAACAGAGCCCTGTGAAATGTTTAGTGCGAATATAGGACTACTTGAATTAGGAATAACTTTGTATGATTTCACTGAATATGCTTCTTTATGAAAAAGGAACTGAATGGAATAATCTCCAAATTGTCCTTTAAGTCCACAGTCTAAATCCAGTTGTTTGAAGGAACTGGAGTAGACTTACTGAATTAATTGAAAGTGTTGATTTGCCAAGTTCCTTTTGATTCAGTGTTGGAATAGATCATTGGATTTGTCCCTATTATTGTGTGTTTGGGGGCATACATATTAAGCTGTACCCTCTAGAATAATCCTTACAGCCAAACTGGAAATGGTTATTTTTGAGGAGAACTGCAATTTCTATCATCTCTCAGCTAGAATGAAGAGTAAGCTAGGTGTTCTGACAGTTGTAGTACACAAAAGTAATTCATCCAAGCTCCTGTCCTAGATAAAATTCTAACATTATTGAACTTTGTCCTATGAATGAACTTTTCCCCACTTTCATGTATTTAGATTATGAGGGAAAGGGCTCACCGTTCATATTCTAGTACACTTGTAGACCTTCTCCAAAAACTGATTCTATTGTCTAAGTGGAGAGCTTTATGCGTTTACATAAGTATTCTTGGAGAGTCTTTCTCATGCAATCCCAAAATGGTGGACAACTGGAAAACATTTAATAATAATAATAATAATAATAATAATAATAATAATAATAATACTTTATTTATACCTTGCCACCATCTCCCCAAGGGGGACTCAGGGCAGCTTACATGAGACCATGCCTATCAGTACAGTAAACACAATATAACACAAAAACACAACAGAAAATTAGAAAATAAAAATAATCTAAAATACAAAACCAATGTAAATAAGCAACACAAAAATATAAAATCAAAACATTTCTGCTGTGGTTGGCGGTAAGGCAGTGTGGAGCAGAGTTTTCATATGAGCCATTCTGATATGGTATAAGGTCTTAATTTTATAAACCAAACATGTGACTCAAGTGTACTACAGTAGGCAGCATGGAAGTTGCAAAAGTTAATATGGGGCATGACTAGTGCATCAGGTCACAAACAAGGGAGAATGAGGATTCCTTTTACACTGACTGCAGTTTGCTCCACTCCAAGAGCCTCTGTGACTTCTGCCACTTTTAAATGTACAATAGATTATTAACTTTGCTCTTGCCCAAGGAAAAGCTCCATTAGTTTATTAGATTAACAAGTCATTAGGAGTGGATTAATGTACATACCTGTTGTAAAAATGGCTGGAGATGGGAGTAACAGTTGAGAACTTTGAACGCTTTCTAGTTAATGAGACTGGAAGAAATCAAGAAAAGAGCAGAACTGGGGGAAACATTTCTTTGTAAGGCAATGGATACTTCCTTGTGTGGAGAGTCCAAAAATTATAACTCACAGAGACATTTACTTGTGAAAGAACAGCTGAACAAAATACAAGGAAACTGGAAACAAAAGTTCTCCGCCCTTGACTATAATACATAAGGGAAATGTTGTCTTAAATGCACAGATGGATGTGTGGGGCTTATGATGGTTCTTTTGCCTAATAAGATTTCTACTACTGCACCAAGGCTTTTGTTTCCCTGAAGTAATCCTCTTATGTACCTCAGATATGCCCTCTCCCTTGCTGAGGATATTAAGCTGATAGTGCCATACTCTATATGCTTTCACTTCACGTTTTATGCACATGGTAGAAGAGTATTACTTGTTCCAATAAGTGTTTGCAGGCAGTCACTTGACTGAGTGTGCTTGTCATAATCTCTTGAAGATTGCCTACTAAAAATACCTCTTCCTTAATCTCCTTTGTGGACAAGGAAGTAAAATAAGGATGTGTGAGGACAGCATGACAGACGGACGGCTACACAAGCATTACAATATATACACATGCTTGGGTTCTCTCACTTGCTCACACTCCTAAGTGACTTGCTGAGCTGTTTGCTTCCCATGTGCCACAGCCATGCCATCTTTTCCCATTCTCAACAGTTTGGGAAAGCTCTGTGGATCAGGGAAAAGCAAGGAATTGGTGTCTGAGCGGATCAAGTACAAAAACTCTGTCAAAAGGATGTCCATCATAGAAGATGGTGATATTGCCGAGGTCTTATACCTTGTCCCTAAGCAGTCTGTGATGAAGCAACTGCCATATCTTAATCCAGATGACTACTATTTGTGCGAATGGATATGCAATGGTCCAGAAGATTTTGGTAAGTAAGAAAACTCGGACAAAGTGTAGATTTTATCATAAGTCAGTTGTTTTTGGTTATGGCTTAAAATTGTACTGAACAAGGAGTATTTTTGCTAAGAGGAGAGAAAAGTATAGAAAGTCTAAAGCTTGTTGAATAGTCTCCAGATTAGGTTGTGTTAAATTTTGAAGGCTTAAAAAATATTAAAAAGTAGCATGTGTATTAGGCTCAACAGGTAGTACTTTGGTGAATTCTCAGAATGGTGTCTTGGTAGATATTAAGGTGGTTTGAGTTGATACATTTCGCTTTGCCTTTCTTATCATTGTAGGCTCAGAGAGTGACCCCCACCCCCTCAAATTGGAGCTTTTGTGCCCTGCTGCCATCACTCTTATAAAGCAGATGATGGGTTATTTTACAAAAGATTCTTCAGCATTATGTGAACAGTGCATGCACATCCTTTCATTGTAAGATATGAAAAGGTTTTACAAGTGCTGTTATTGTCCTTATTTTGCAAATGATGTCGTCAAAAGCATGACTACACAAAAACATAAATGTGAGTGGAATGCATCTAGGTAATGTTCAACCTATTGCAGATTTCCCACATATCCCACATAAAATGAGTTGGTTGCAGCTGATTTTAAAAATAGCTAGGGCAATGTTTTCTTTTTCCCCTGATTTGCCTTTAGGCAGTGTTAATGTTATCTGACATATTTCACATATCTTAAGAGTAGCTGCAAAGTAACTCCCCTCCTCCCATTTTCAAAATTGGACAAGGTACTTGTTTTGGTCTGGGTACCACCTATTGTTTTTATCTTATCTATTTATTCAACTGTTTGATACTTATGTTTTGCCATAGTATCTCTTTTTACTGCATCGTTCTATTTGAAATTTGTTCCAGGCAGGTTTATTAAGATGTATAATTACTTATCACACCCTTTCTGGAGGGTCGTACCCAGAAGGTGTTATTGGGGGACTGCTGTTCAACACCACAGCCTTTGACCTGTGGGGTTCCACAGGGTTCTATACTGTCCCCCATGCTGTTTAATATCTACATGAAGCCGCTGGGTGAGATCATCCGGAGTTTCGGGGTGCGGTGTCATCTGTACGCAGATGATGTCCAACTCTGTCACTCCTTTCCACCTGCTACTAAGGAGGCTGTCGAGGTCCTGAACCGGTGCCTGGCCGCTGTGACGGTCTGGATGAGGGCGAACAAACTGAAATTAAATCCAGACAAGACAGAGGTACTCCTGGTCAGTCGCAAGGCCGAACAGGGTATAGGGTTACAGCCTGTGCTGGACGGGGTCGCACTCCCCTTGAAGGCGCAGGTTCGCAGCTTGGGTGTGACCCTGGATTCATCTTTGAGCCTGGATCCCCAGGTTTCAGGGGTGACCAGGGGAGCATTTGCACAGCTTCGGCTCGTGCGCCAGCTGCGCCCGTACCTTGGGAAGTCTGACTTGGCCACGGTGGTACACGCTCTGGTCACATCCCGCCTTGACTACTGCAACGCTCTCTACGTGGGGCTGCCCTTGAAGACGGCCCGGAAGCTTCAGCTAGTCCAGCGCGCGGCAGCCATGTTACTAACGGGAGCGGGACACAGGGAGCACACAACGCCCTTGTTGTCCCAGCTCCACTGGCTGCCGATCTGCTACCGGGCCCAATTTAAGGTGCTGGTGTTATCCTACAAAGCCCTAAACGGTTCCGGCCCAAAATACCTTTCGGACTGCATCTCGGCCTATGAGCCCACGAGGGCCTTGAGATCGTCTGGGGAGGCCCTTCTCTCGATCCCGCCTGCCTCACAGGCACGTCTGGCGGGGACGAGAGAGAGGGCCTTCTCAGTGGTGGCCCCCCGGCTGTGGAACACCCTCCCTGTTGACATCAGACAGGCGCCCTCCCTTATGGCTTTCCGCAAGAGCCTAAAGACCTGGCTATTCGAGAAGGCATTTAATTGAGAGCTACACGAATCTGGTAATGACAACAGGAACGGATTATGGATTATGAGATTGGCTATGATTCTATGTTGTGACGGTGCGGATTTATTAGTGTGATTTAGATTAATGTGTAATATGGTTGTGTTGATATATTGTGTGCTTTTGTAAACTGTTTTTATATGTTGTACACCGCCGCGAGTCGCCCCAGGGCTGAGAGCGGCGGTCAACAAATGCAGTAAATAAATAATAAATAATAAATTATCAAAGTCACACTTCAATAGTGTCATTTGTACTTTTTCCCCCCATCCATGTTAGTGGTTTTATTACTTACTTCTGTACCCGGTATTCCCTTCAGGGTTGGTTTGCCTATTTTTTATTGTAGCCATCACATTTTGAAAACATCACAATGATGCAACTATACAATGGCATTACAAAGCCCCCCATGACTACCCAAATCTTTTATTGGAAGATATCTTTTATTAGAGAAACGACACAAGAAAATAAAGTGGTCATTCTACTCCTTGCCATTTTATTCCAACGTTTTTGGACTGCAACATTTTTTACTATGCCAGTTTTGTCTTCGCAATAGCATTGTTTTGTTATGACAGAAGAGGAAGTTAAGATGAGTTGAAACACACACAAAAAGGCATCTTCCCTGCACAAGCTCTGGAAGTGGTCTGAGGTTGCTTTGCTTTGAATTTCCTTGGGAATCCTTGAGGGAGGGACAACCTGGCCTTACCACACAGCCCTATATCCCAGAATATCAAGGTAGAAAATCCCCCATTATCTGAGTATGGACTCAGATAATCCAGTTCAAAGCAGATATTGTGGGATTTTCAGCCTTGATATTCTGGGATATAGGACTGTGTGGAAGGGTCCTATGTCTACTGATGGCTTATTCATGGAATAAAGCACCATGAAGCACCAACACCTGAACGGATGATTGAATTCTTGTGGGGGAAAAGGGTAATTAATGGATTATTTCAAGGGTTTAAAAACACACTTTCAATTACTCTGTAACACACCAATGCCAGGAGAACTTGTGTGAATTTGTGTGATAATGCTGAGGCAATACCAGGAGTAATGTATCACTATGAGAGTTTAACAGCATGGTGTGATAACACTCTATGTCTGTTAAGTAGAAGCCTCTGGATCTAAGACTTTTGCAGTATGGTATAGTTATTTCATTGTTCAGAAGACTGTGTAATGGGTTATTCATTGCTACAGCTCCTGCTACTAAATACTTGATAAATACAGGTGATTAGTGTGAATCTAGTCTAAAAATGGAATATAATCATTCCATTTTCAAAAGTCTAGTGAAACTTAAACCTTCAAATCAATTTATCAAATTCAGGTTGTGGCTGTAGCTTCCAGCCTGCTAGTCTTGCATTAATGTGGCTTCAGTATCATGTCTGGATTTTTTTAAAAAGATACATCATTGTTATTTTGTGAGTGCTAAAGAGTGGCAGTGAATCACTGAGATAAATTTGTTTATTTGTAGTTTCTCATCCCTGGATCTCATCTTGAGAGAAAAAGATTCTGTGATGTTATGAACCCAATGCAACAGTGCTTCCCAATCTTTGGGCCTCCAGGTGTTTTGGACTTCAGCTTCCACAGTTTCTAACAGCTGGTAAGCTGGCTGGGATTTCTGGGAGTTGAAGTCCAAAACACCTGGAGGCCCAAAGGTTGGGAACCACTGCATTAAAACAATGCTGGGAAAACCCTGTTGCTTCCGACTGCAGTTTCCAGCATCCCTCACCTTTGGCTATGCTGCTTAGGTTTGAGACCGGGAGTATAATAGCATATGAAGGGTCGCAGTTCAAATGTCCACATTTTAAGATGGGCATTAAAGAATCAAAGGAAAAGTATTGCCTTTTACAAGTGTGTGGCCTAAATACTCTAAAGGCACCAGATCCTACCTGAGCTTGAAAGCTAAGCAGGATCAACTTTGGTTAGTACTAGGTTGAAATACTCAACAAATACCAGTGTTTCAGGCTACATTTCAGAGATAGAAACTCGCAAAACCACCTCTGAGTATTCCTTGCCTTAAAAAACTCATGTGAAATTAATGGGCTCAACATAAGTTGACAGGCAACTCAAAGGCGCATACACATATAGGTGTGATTTCTTTTTTGTCCTCTGTGAATAAAGTATTTATGCCTCACTGGTTTTGCTAAAAGTACACATAAAAAAAGATGTGCTCACATTATAGCATAGTTCTTGAAATCTTATTTTCTGTCCTTCCCTTTTGAAGCAACCCCTTTCTTTGCTAAAATGGTACAGATATTTTTGTTTTCTGCCTGGCCATTTGATACAATTGTCCAGCATCACAGTTCCAAGTTTAAAAATTAAATCTGGAAAGGTGTAGATCTAATTCACTGCTCTTCATTGTTTTGCCCAAAGATATTTTGCCAGGATTTTACAGTTAATTGTTATACTCTGTTAATTGGAAATCTGCAACTGAGAATATTAACTGTAGCTTTAAACTATATCTGGAAACTGAAATGATTTCAATTATGTGAAATTTTTGTTCTCTTTGCTGTACTTCTCCTACCCACATACAACATGTACCTTTGGGTTCCTCGTAAATCACCACCATGACTTTTATTTTTTCCACTCCCAGATCCACTATCTTTATTCCATTTGCCCTCAGTTTTCCTCTTTTGTTCTCCATCTTTTTGCACCTTCCTTCCTTCCGTCAGTAGGAGAAAAGGATCTCTGTATGAGTAGCTCCACTTGCCAAACTGGCTGTTTACTCCCGTCACAAGCAGTTGCACTGATTTTCTACTTACGTAACTGGCCTTTCCTCCTTTGTGTAATGTTGTATGGATACTTCATCTGAATATTTCATGGCAGCAGCTCAGCCAATAATCAGAATGTGGTAGTCAATTTTTGCTAGGTTTTATCTAGATAATAATAACCATCTATTGTTACGATAAAATGAATTCAACTGTTTGGAATACCAACTCATGTTTCAGACCTGAACTTCATGCAAATGCAATAGCAAATGCCAACAAGACATAAAATCAAATTTAGTCAAGACTGACTTAAGTTAGTTGTTCTATTCAAGGTATGTCTAAATTTGTTTCCATA